TTTGTAAGTAGGATCACAAGTCTGCATCTTGTACAGCAATTAACCACTAAGAAGAATATATGCAGTGTATTATTTTTTGAAACTGTACTTTCGATTTGATTTGAAACTGTCTCATTGCTATATGTTTATCAATAAAACTTTGAAAAGAAAAAAGATAAATTTGATGACATAGATAAAAAAATAAAAAAATGTACTTGGTATAGGGTCTCACTATGCCGGTTGGACTCATAGTGATTCTCCTGTTTTCAGCCTCCCCAGTGTTGGGGTTACAGCTGTGCACCCCCCGCCCAGTCTCGCAGGCTGGTTCAGCATGCAGGGGGCAGGGCTGGTGCAGCATGTGGTGCTGGGGAATGAACCCTGGTCTCTACACTTGCTTAAGCAGTCACTTAATCCATTGAGCTATCTTGCTGGCCCAAGGAAGTTTTAATTTGGCCCATGGTTCACGTGATTCAGTCCACGGTCAGCTTGCTCCGAGACAGATCACGGCAGAAGCATGTGGTAGGGCAAAGTTGCTTAGTTCATGGCAGCTGGGAAGCAGAGCAGGGAACAAAGCCAGAAAGGAACTGGTGAGAGATCACATATAGTTTCATGCACCCATAATGCACTCAGACACACCCAGGGGCATGCTGTAGTAATCTGAGAGATATTTCTTAATCCAATGGAGTTGATGGATCAGGATTAACAGTCACACCATCATCTTGGGATTGGGATAAATTTTGCAGGGATGTAAACATTTCAAACAGTTGGTGATTTTTTCAAAAATTAGCAGTACAACTACCCTATGATCCATCCATTGCGCTTCTATGTATATACCAAGCAGAAATGTGTACATACATACACCAGAATCATGTATTAGAATGTTCACAGCAGCTATGTGAACTACATCCAAGAAAGAAAATGAAACAAAAGGAAGAAAGGAAGGAAAACACCTCTTTATATGTCCAAACTCATATAGGTGCAGACCACAGGGAGCTGAAAGGACATTTCTGGGTCAGTGAGCTGTTTAATTTCTTGGTCTCAGTGGTAATTATAGGCTCTATTCATTTTCTCAAACTCCACTGAGCTATACTCTTCAAATGTATATAATTTCCTGGATGAATGTGTTATATTTCAATAAGAAAACTTATGGAAAAATGTGTGGGATACCATTTAAAGGAACATACTGAGATCTATCATCTTACTGGGAAAGAATGCTTGAAAACATTAGCTAAGCATCCTCCTCCAGGAACTATATAAGGAACAGCAAAATGATTTCAAATAATATCAAAGACGTGAAAGTAAATGAGGGCCAGCCAAATAGCTCAGCGGATTAAAGCACCTGTAAGCCTGGAACAGGGGCTTGGGGTTCGATCCCTGGGTCTGCTGTGCCAGCCCCACCCCCAGGGCATGCTGAGATGGCAGTTGAGACTGGGCGTGGTGGTTCGCGCCTGTAATCCCAGCACTTGGGAGGCTGTAAACAGGAGAATCACTATGAGTCTGATCTAGCAGTGAGACCCTGATCACCCTATAGACTCTCCTAAAATAAAAAAAAAGTAAATAAGATTCTTCCTAAACACAAAAATAAGTCTGACAAGTGAAACCCACCCATGACTGAGAGAAAATTCATTTTAAAGGCAGTTCATTAATCTCACAACTCACCTTAATATTAAAACAAAGAGACTCAACAATTAGAACAAAAACATAGTTAAGCTATTTAGAGGAGATGTTTTAAGTATAGAAAAAAATGTGACTATTCTAATTAAAGGTGGCAGATTGGCCATGAACACTTAACTCATGTTTTTTTTTTT